TGATTCTGAGTGTAGTTCATGGGGGTGATTGAACTCATAAAGGAGTCCTGCAGTAGCAACATGGGGGGTTTTGTGATGTGCGGGTGGGTATTTATGCCTAACTGGTGGGTGGTGGGAGTGGCCAATGGTTGGAGGTGGTTGTTGGTTGATAGACGGTGGGTGATGGGGAAAGAGATGCATAGAGACAGACATTGAGGGAGAGAATGGAGAAAGAAAGTCAGAGTAAGATTATTGTTGTCATTTTAAAATGATCTTTCTAAATCCATTCTCACTTTAGCAGTGTGATACCCACGGGCTCTACTTATGCATTTTAGTCTACAAATCATCATGAGATTATTTTTAGATATGAGAAATATAAGACGTAAAATGTTCTAAATATTGGGTATAACGGTGATATTATGTTATCATTATCATTATCATGTAATAACAAATTTATACATAGATAAAAGGAATCTCACTTTTTTATATATAGTAGTTATTTTCTTAAAATTTCAAAGGATAACTCAAGTGATAACAGGAACGAGCTATAAATTCAAATATCTTGAGTTTAATTCTTGACAACTCCTTATCTCGACGTGAATGACTTGCCTTTGACAGAACTGGACAGAGAACTATGTTTAAAAAAAAAAAAAGAAGCTATTTTCTTAGATATAGTGATAGTTACTAAATTAAATATATCTATTGGTTTAGTTGTTGAATTATTATTAATTTGTGAAACAATGTCACCATGTGGTAGTAAAATTAAGGGTTCGTTTGGAAACGTTTATGGTTTTCAATTTTCAAAAAAAAAAAAAAAGTTTTTGTTTTCTTTTGGTAAAAACAAAAAACTTGTTTGCTTATATTTCATCTTGTGGGAAAAAATTAAAAAAAAACAAAAAACTCATTTGATAAACACTTCTAAATTATTTTTTGAACAATTTGTTTATACCATACACTTTTTCCTGCTATTTTAACTATAAAAACAAAGGATATGAGAAGAACACAGACAAGTCATAACATAATTCATAATACGTACCATAATTTACAAACATAAACAATAATAATCCATATAAACATATTAACCTTCTATTTTATAGTCTTACAAATACTAATACCCCATTACTCGAGCAAATTTCAAATAAAAACTACAAAAAGTAACATAAATACTGTACAACATAGAGACCACACTGTAACCACAACACGTGAGCATATAATAGTGGCTCTTCTCTTGCTGGTGGTAGGGGCGTTCAAATTTTTGATTACCCGTAATTTTCAATCTTACTCAACCCTATTGATCGACTACTCGAAAAAAAAAAGGGTAGGAATACAAAAGAATTTTTGTTCTTCTGAAAAAATCGAATAAGAATGCAGAATATCCATCAAATTTCAGTATTCTTACCCTACCCCACCCGCATATATATAAACTAAAAATCCTAATGCCTCCTCCTCTCGACTCTTTCGCGTCTCTGCTCTCTAGCCTCGCTTGACTCTCTCACCTCTATGCTCTTTGGCCACTCTCGCCTCTCTGCTGTGACCTTAGCAGGCTAGCACCCCACTGCCTCCTCATCTTCGAGTCTCAATGTCCCAAATTCTCTCTCTCTCTCTCTCTCTCTCTCTCTCTCACACACACACACACAGTTGACTAGTGGTTATGTTTTTCAATCCAGATCAAGAAAGGGGTCCGTGATTTCTGAGATTAGGGCACTGTGTTATTTTTATTTATGAGTTCTTCATATTTAATTTTTATCCTTAAATTTTTTTATCTCAGAAATAATTGCAAAGAAAATTGAAATTGCTCTCGAGTGAAGAGAGGTGAATTACACTAGCAAGAAAGATGGTATTTAGCTTTTACATATGTTTTTAGTAATTATAAGATTATTTGTGTGGTATAATTTATAACATTTTTTTGTCGTAGATGTTTGAGTTGCTAAAACATCGACTTATTTTTTGTGCAGGTTACATGATTTTTGATGATGTATTGGAGCAGTTATGATTTTTTTATGTGTTTCATGTGGTTTAAAGCTAAAATAGTTGTTATTATATTTGTATAACAATTATGATGTATTGATATTTATGACTTAAGCTTTCTTGTGTTTTGTTGTAATTGCTATTGTAATTGTTTTAGACTTTAGTGTTATTTGGTTTATTGTGTTGTTAAATTGGTGTATGTTATTTAATTGAATTGTTAAAATAATTCAAAAATTAATAACTACAAAAATGTGTTCATCATATTTCTTACCCGACTTCCTACTCCATTAATTTGGACAAAATTCGGGTAAGAAAATTCGAGTAAGCCAAGAAAAAAAATTTCGCAACGAATCAAGTAAGAGGATGAATGATTATATTTTCTATTTGTAGGGTAAGATGAACACCCCTAACTGATGGTATTGATCTAACTATATGAAGAAATCCTCATGGTCTTATTACATGCAGGCACGGGCCATCAGATTTGGTGGATTGAACCTCAATCACATTATGACTACATACATTGGTGACATTGGTATTTGCCAACTATAAGCACACAATGGTATCGTCACTATATAAACAGATTCACCCATAGATAAAAAAAAAAGAATCCCCAAAAAACCCAAATATCCCGTGGCAATAAACAGAAAAAATAATGAGTGTTGGATGAAGAACTTTTCATGGTGCATCAATTACTTTATTAACAATAAAATCATGCAATCATAGGGTAATGAAACAGGAAAATCATAGCCTATTGATCCATGGGATAACCCTCGAACCTTAGCAACAAAGAATTAAACCCAAATGCACCGAAAAAAATAAGAATCAAACACAACAACGAATTTTTTTGGTTGAATCAATAAAGCAAGAAAGAGTAAAATCCAAAAAGCACCAAATCTATGGGAAAAACTTGGGTAAATCCTAGATCTATGTGATAGTTGCTTGATCATTTTCCCTAGTCTCCAACCCTCGAACCTGGATTATGTGTATATGGCTTATAGAAATTGGTGAGTGTCACTCTCCCTCAAGTTCAATGCAAGAAATGAGAAAAAACGTGTGTGGATGAAAAAAAAACACGTGTGTGTATGTGTGTGCAACAATACTCCCCAAGCATAGAAAAACTTTCAATGTTGTGTTTTAATTGGAATGAGTATTCCAAGGTCGTCTCCTCAAGGGAGGAAAGGTCTGTGTTTTGAAGGTTGATTTGTGCAAAGTGAAAATTGGAAAATCTTTGTGATTTGAAGTTTGGTGGTTTGTGATTTGTAAAATATTTAAGAAAATAAGGTTGGCTAATCTATAAAGGTTATTCCAATGAAAATGTCAAATTGATTCAATCCATCCAAAAAATGGAATCTCAGTGTTTGATTGATTCGTAAGAAGTAAAGGATTAACGTGGTTGTGTTGGACAAAAGTATACTTCGTGATAAGTCTACAGTGTATCAAGAGCCACAACCACACCCACACTCAACCTAGTTAAAACCAAACACTTTACACTACGAGGAAGAATGAAAGAGAATCGATCTCAATACCCAAGAGGAAACTCCTCTTGGATTAGCCAACTAAAAGTTTAGCTACTCGTAATAAAGGTAAGAACAAACGTGATGTAAAGAGACATGGTAGTGACATCAAACATGAAACTTGTATTGGTACAAGAAAATGTTTAAACTACAAAAGCAAAGTCATTCATAACCAAAATACAAAGCTTGAAGAGAAAATACCCAAATGTAAAAATGGAAATACAAGAACACTTAGCTAAGTTTGGGTACAACTTGAATAAAAGAGATTAGAGCGTAAGAAATAAGGATTACAAGTAAAATAGAGCTTACTACAATGAAAATGATAAAAGAAATGTAAAAACCCAACTTCTTTATCTATAACTTCATCTTCAACTTTGGAGCTTCTCTCTCTAAAAACATATCAAATTTGAATAATGGTGTAAAAACTTTCCCAATTTCATCCATACTCTCTCCCTTAGCTTATGTGGCTGAATTGGAATGATTGGCGAGAGGCAGTCCACTTGAATAAGCAATTTCAATTCAAGCATGGCCCTCCCATGCTTTTCCAACCACCTCTCTTCTCCCTCTTTCCTCTCTCCTCTCTTTTACTTCAAATCTGACTTTAGGGATTAGGAGAGCATCATGGGTGTCAAACATGTCAGGGTATGGTTTAAATGACAAGAGGTGGGCCCCCGGAGTTGGTGGAGTCGTGTGAAAAAGGTGTCTAGTAGATCTGGGCATGTTCTACCGGTAGAACGTAGAAAACCTATCGATAGATTTTTTTCAGTAAGATTTTCTGCCGGTAGGTTTTTGCATGTTAAAGGTAGACAATTTCTAGTGGGCTTTTCTATCGGTAGGTCTTGGGACTTCTACTAGTAGGTCTTGAATGACTTCTACAGGTAGGTCTTGAATGTCTTCTATCGATAGGTTTTGTCATGCCTTGGGATTTTCTTGGTTATTTGAGGTCCCGAGCCATCTGTTAAGTAGTCTCTTCTTCCACATTGACTTTGAGCACTTGATGGGATGCTTTATATATGACCGTACCTGCTTTTTACCTACAATCACACAAATCTTCATTAATTATAAATTTGAACCATTTTCCCCAATTTTCACCACAAAACAAGTAAAATGGTGCAATAGAGAAACATGATATGCAATATTCTATATTTATCAATAGTAGGTTATGACTAACACTGGTGAGTGAATTGTATCATAGATCTACACACAAATTCAAAGGAAAAATGGCGGGTTTGCATAAAATCGATTTTATGCACAGATTCAAACCATAGAGAGTTCAAAACACAATAAAATGCCAATATCCAAACAACATAGAGCTAATTCAAATAAAACATTGAAGATCTAACAATGATTTTAACATAATCCAAGAAAAATCAAGAACAAAGAAAACCCTAGATCAAAATTTCGGATAAGAACATAAAAGGTTTGTGATAAACAAATTGAACCTCTTTGTTGCAAACAACATCTGATTTGTTGTGTTCTTATTGGGTTTGCTGACAGATTCATTCTCTTCTTCATATAAAGGGACCTTGTAAGATTTCGATGGAGGAGAGAAGTCATGGGTCGTTCAAAGTGAGATAAGAAAAAAGGCTGAAAACTGCCTTTTTATATGTGCACACAAATGGTATAAATTGTGTTGTTAGTGAGAGTTGAAAGCGAGACCTCATTAATTGTGGCCGCGTGTTTCTGTTTTTTTCCTTATGACTTTTTAACGTTTTCAAAAATGGGACCAATTTTTAAAGCAATTACAATAAAAAAAAAACAGTTATCAAATGAGTTTTTTTTTCCTCATTTTCTCCAAATGTCAAAATAAAATCATTACCAAAAGAGCCTAAAGTTGCTTGTTTTTTTAAGGGAGAATTACATCCAGACCTTTTAAAGTTTGTCACTTAATCATTCAGATCCCCTAATATTTAAAATATTACACACAGACCCCGTAAGGTTTATTCACGCGTAATACTTAGACTAATGTTGTAAATATATTCGTTAATAAATTACATTTAGACTACCCTAAAGTTTGTGAGTATATAATACTTAGACCTTTTAAGTTTAAAATATTATAATTAGACCAAAAATATTATAATCAAATATAAAATATAAAATATTTTAAATTTTACAACCAAAATTCATGTTCTATTGTATCATTCATTAAAATAAAATTTAAATTTAAATTTAAATTTTTTTTAAAAAAATCGTAATTAGTATACAATTATACTATCATTTGGAATAAAACTAAAAAATGAAACAATTGGTCTAAGTCATTCATAATAGAACGTGAATTTTACATCTAAAATTCATGTTCTATTATGTCATTTATTGAAATAAAATCAAAAACAAAAATTTATTTTTTACAAAAAAAACATAGTTAGTATATATTTATGCTGTCTATTAGATCAAAACTAAAAGATTAAACAATTAGTCAAACTTTAATGAACACAATATCTTTTAAATTTAATTGAGGTAGTTTGGTATTTTAATTTGATCGTTTAAAAGACTAAATTAAATTATAATAGACAAAATAATTGTATATTAATTACAATTGTTTAAGAAAAAATTGAATTTTTATTTTTGATTTTATTTCAATAAATAATACAATAGAATATAAATTTTAGTTGTAAAATTTAAAATATTTAATAATTTATATTTGATTGAAATATTTTTATTCTAATTATAATATTTTAAACTTAAATGATCTAAGTATTATATAACTACAAATTTTAGGGGACTCTAAGTATAATTTATTAACTAATATATTTAAAACAAGAATCTAGGTGTTACGCGTGGATAAACTTTAAAGAATTTATGTGTAATATTTTAAATATTAAAAAATTTAAATAATTAAGTGACAAATCTTGTAAGTAATTCTCCCTTTTTTTTTAACCACAACAATTCGTAAAAGCTGCATTTAGCATGACATGACCAACACATCGAAAGCAAAAGCGTTCTGCAGAGGCCATCCGCCATTGATCTGAAGCATCAATGATAACCCCTTTATACAGAACAATGATTGAATCATCTGGCAATGTTAAATGCAGGAAGATGTCCACCAACTCCATAAACACACAACAGACTCCCACAATATATTCAGCTATCTCCCGATGTCCTTCTCTAACCTTATTCGCTGCACAAAATCCATTGTCAGAGGCAGAGCAGTCCATGCGAAGCTCATCACATCTGGATTCCACTCAGACATTTATACAAACAATCATGTGCTCAATATGTACTTAAAATTCGACTGCATGGACGACGCTCGTAAACTGCTTGATCAAATGCCTGAACGAAACACGATTTCATGGACCACTCTGATATCTTCGTATTCGCAATTGGGTCTACCAGAAGACGCGTTAGATTGTTTCAGAAAAATGGTAGAGGATGGTGTTGACCCAAATCATTACACGTATGTGGGTGCTATAACGGCTTGCGCTAGCTTAGGTGTTGCAAGAACTGGGAAAGAAATTCATGGAAAGATTTATAGGACTGCGGAGGATGTAAATAGTTTTGTTAGTAACTGTTTGGTGAACTTTTATGGGAAATGTGGGTTGTTGAAATCGGCTCGTTTTGTGTTTGATGCAATTTTGGAGCCCAATTTGGTTTCTTGGACTTCGCTTCTTTCATGTTATTCCCAGTGTGGAGAAAATGTGGAGGGACTGAGGATTTTCTTGCAGTCTTTGAGAGCGGGACTGAAAGGAAACGAGTTTTCCTGCGCGAGTATATTGGGCACTTGTGCCGCATTGGGAAATCTGGAAGTTGGGATGCAAGTGCATTGTCATGCTATCAAATGTGGAATTAGACTTGACCAATTTGTTGTGACTGGATTGATTGACTTTTATGTCAAGTGTGGTAAAATAGATTTAGCATATGATGCTTTTTTAGAGGTGGACAATCCGCATGTATCGGCTTGGACTGCGGTGATAGGAGGGTGTGTTCAACAAGGGAAGGATAGAGAGGCGACTGATCTTTTCTGTAAAATACACTCTTCGGGTATCAAACCAAGTGAGAGAACATTCTCATCTGTCCTGGGAGCCTTTTCTGGTATAATGGAAACTGAAGCTGGGAAACAACTCCACTCTTTGATTCTAAAATATGGATTTCATTCATTTACATTTGTTGGCAATGCAGTACTGGATTTTTACTCAAAAAGTGGGCTTCTCGATGAATCTTTGAGAACATTTGAAGAAATGGATGAACAAGATGTTGTTAGTTGGAATGCACTGATATCTGGACGTGTAACTGCAGGTAATTATCAGGAGGCCATTGAAATTCTTCGTAGGATGTTGTTTGAAGGGTTTGATCCTAATATTTACACATACTCCATCATTTTAAGCATATGTGGGGATCGTCCGGCTATTGAATGGGGCAAGCAAACCCATTGCTGCATTATGAAACCTGGGTTTGTCTCCAATATGGTCGTTGGAAGTGCACTCATTGACATGTATGCTAAGTGTGGACGGTTGGGTGATGCTCGAATAGTTTTTGATACTCTGCCATCAAAGAACATTGTTGCTTGGAATACCATGCTTGTGGGATATGCTCAACATGGATATGGGAAAGAGGCTTTAGATATCTATGATTTGATGCAAAAAAATGGCATGCAACCTAATGATATTACATTTGTGGGAGTATTGTCTGCGTGTGGGCATGTGGGACTCTTAGAGGAGGGACTAAGCCACTTCAGTTCCATGACTAAGGACTATGGAATTGCCCCAGGGACTGACCACTTAGCTTGTATGGTCAGTCTCTTTGCCCGTAAAGGACAAATGAAACTAGCTTATGATTTCATAAGGAGTTTTCCTGTGAAACCGGATAAGGTGGTTTGGCGTTGTCTTTTGTCAAGTTGCAAAACTCACAAAAACTTGGCTCTAGGAAAATATGCTGCTGAAAAGATTTTGAGTATTGATCCAGATGATACCTCAGCCCATATCATGCTATCAAATATGTATGCACAGTCAAAGATGTGGAATGAATTAGCACAAGTCAGAAAACTAATGAAGGGGAAGGAATTGAAAAAGGATACCGGTTATAGTTGGACTGAATTGAAGAATGAGATATATTATTTTTCTGCTGGTCATAGTGTGCATTTTCAGGAAAAAAGTTTGCTCGAAGTTTTGAGTGGGTTAACGGCTCAATTGTTTGATGCAGGATATGTACCTGATGCCATATTCTGCTCACTTTATTTGGAATAAATTTGCCTAATAATATTTTTTGCGATAAACCTCGCACTTTAATTGAATTGTTCTTTATTTGATATAAGCCAAGTCATCCACATATGAGCACAGAAGGAATTCGCATGCGGCTGACAATCTTTAAATCTATGGTCACATCACCTTACAAAGATTTGTGAATTTAGTGAGACCAGGGGAGAATTGGGAACCTGCTAGTGTGGGGGAATCCGTAGGGGACAGGCTAGCAAACTCTAGGGCTTGTACCCTTAAGTTCTGAGGGTAATCTGCAACACATCCAATTCTTGGGCCAGCTCCTGTTGACCATTTCAATGAAAGTTGGTGCCCTAATTGGTATGAGCTTGATATCTTCTTGGAATTGATTCTCTGCAGTATTTCATTTGTAGGATCTCTCTTCCTCGGGCTCTGGAGATTACTAGATAATGCCCTTCTGTAACTACCTTTTCTTTCAGTCTTAGCAAGTTTAATTGGTTCGGAGTATTGCATTTTCTCAATTCCACTAGAAAGTTGAAGCTCGGTATGTTCAGAATTAGTTGAGAATCCAATCTTATTACCTTCTTGATCATGTCTGCTGATATAGGTCTGAGAATCATCAGCATGGGAAATTACCTGACAAAAAGAAAGAGAACTCAGATAATGTTTCTCATTGAGGTATGCTATCAAACAAATATCAAATATGCTGCATCTAGATTCTGGATTATGACTAAATTTGAGCAGCGACATGAAATAATTTGAGGTCATTCACAGCCTCAAGTACCCGGAGATCAAGAACAGGTTCTTCTGTGGCCCGAATGTAATTTAATTGCATATGTTTTGACATGAAAATGGCATGTTGAGGTGCACATTTTTTAGAGTGTAACGAGTTGTTTTTTAGAGTGTAACAATTGAGTTGTATACCTCAACTTCTTCAAGATGTACTCCATTGTCCTTGAGGAAATCTAAGAAGCTCCCGAGGTTCTTGTCAGTGGGACGATAATGTCCGCTAGATGCTGATACTGACTGAAATGGAGTTACACATTCAAAGTTCAGTTGCTAATTTTGAAGCATCTTCATCCAATTATATTTTATAATTACCTTGACATGCCATGTCCACCATATGCAGACACATACTGGTCAGATGTTGTGGGTATGTTCTATTTCTTCTTGTAATTGAATATGATGAAATGAATAGTTCATATACTTTTACTCCATCACATTCCAGAAAGTTATGTCCTTGTTTCATATGATCTGCAATTGAACAAGCTTTTTCTTTTATCCTAGTAGAACTGTATATCTGTTATGGACACCTTTATGTGTTTGTAAATACACACACTCTTTACTACATCTTTATATCCTATATGAGGATCTTTATCGCACAGGGGTTTTACTACACCAAAGAAGAGAATTTAGTCTGACAAGTAGCTTCGTGGAATGTTGCATAAACAACCTGCATGATCTTGATTTCAGTACTTCTCAACCCATGTGGAGTTATGACCCAATAATTAAAGGATACGTGAGAAAACTGCGTTGACATCTACAAATTACTTTGAAATCATCTAAAAGCGTCTACAAGGTTCCATAGCTGTCTCCCAGTGATTGAAGGTGAGCAATTTTCCTTTTATAACGAAAGACTAAAGAGTAATTACAAAATCTGTTGTCACAGATACCAGTGGGACTGAGCATCTTAATTTGCTTCTAGTTTGCCAACTTTGTGAAAAATTCTCTCTACAGAATGTGATTGGTTACACTTGACTGCACACTTTCCAAACTGAAAAGTTCCTATAATTCAACTTGGCAAAGTGGTTACATGCTTGTGTGATCCAATACCTTTGATGTTTAAGAGCAAATAGTGTCAATTCGAATCCTCTCTGAAAGTTAATAGCGGATTAAAATAGGAGCAAACTTTTGATCTAAAAAGTGACTAACAACTCATATGTAATAGATAGCTGTTTACTTTAGTTTTTTTTTCATTTCTATTTACAAATAAAAGAAACAGTCTTTCTCTGTTTCTATACTTGTGTAATGAAGATTTTTGGCTCCTTTCGTGAGCAGTAATTATTCCATCATCTTTTGTTTGTTTTTTGGTGGGTGGGGGTTGGGGAGGTTGGGTTTTGGGTGTTGGGTGTTGGGTTATTCTACTATTTTTTCATGGTATTTGCAGAATCACTAGGTGTCACAAATGTATACTGTTAGCTTTATACCTTGAGTTTTCCATCCTTTGCTTTAAGTTGTCCAGCGGCTAGAGTGGCACCTCCTGCAAGGAAGCTGGAATGATGAAATGATCCCTTCCTTTTCTGAACAAACGAAGAATGAACACTAATTATATGCTATATGAAGGGGAATCCCTAGAAACAGGTGAACATTGCCATTCTAAGGCCATTCTGTTATGGGAGGGTAAATTTATCATACCTCCCCAGCCTACAATTTTTTTGAAGTACTCATCACAAATATCCATTTTGAGCCTTGGCCTCTTTGAGTTGTATCAAGAAGATCTCCACTTTCTTTGTGCACCATTGTGCCTCCAGCTATAAAGTACTCAAACTGGTCCCTTTCTTGCTTATTTCAGCAATATTTGCAGTGAAACAAAAAAAAAAAAAAAAAAGGTTTGGGACATTCTGTTAGAGTTGACATGATGATGGTGCAATTGAAGCATGATGAAGATGGTGCAATTGAAGCATTATAAAGATGGTGCAAATGAATTGCATTTTCATTTAGATCCAGAAAATTGGAAACAGAAATGATTGCTGTTATTGGCTCTTCGAAATCAACTTGAGGCTCACGAAGTTTTCTTTCAGTAGTAAGCATTGCACACTTTCTAGTCTAGATCGGAGTCATTACCGATATCCAAACCTACAGTCATTCTATGATGTAACTGATCTTGTGTGTAATCTTATGCATGCAAAGGCTAACCAACAGGAATGTTAGGAACTTCCTTACGGATTGGAAATAAGGGCCTATTGTGATCTCTGAAAATGAAAATGGAGTTATCTCATTTTAATGGCCATATCCTTTGAAGTGAAAATCTATGCTATTGACATTGCTCCTATTACAGAAATTTGAGACTTGTAGCATCCTCATCCCATAAATTCTTTAATGAATATATTTGTTTATGAATGATTCAATACAGAAAAATGAATGCACTCCTTTCAAGATGCCAATAAATACCCTGGAAATTTAATATGCACACCGCCGTCATGTCTAATGAAACCTTAGTGTGTTGAATAAAACTGTGTGCTTATGATTGTGAGTTGGAGCACTGATCTAAATTATATAGTTTGGAGCATTACAGGTCCAAGGTATCTGATGCATTCTTGCCGAAGCTTTGATCTTGGGCATTCTTCCAGATCAACCTCTTTGCCATCTCCAATGTCCAACCTGTACAAGGTACATATGACCACGATTCAGCAATGATTTGGTGTAATTTACAATAGCATAACTGACTGTTACATGAGTATTATGTAAAGTCGTCATGAAATTACAGTTTGAAATTTCATTTTTTTAATCTGTGTATCTTTGCATGAGATATTTGTGGTATTATGTAATTGGATATTTATCGATTGTATACAGGCCCTACATTATTCTAATGGCTTGCAAGCGAACATTTAGAATTACAATAGTGGTGCACGTGCCATGCAATTTTGATTTAGAAAAGTCTGTTTATAATTGACACAAGATTTTATAAACATAATTTTTTAACTTCATTTTTACTTTAACTTATGTTCATCTAAAATGGTATTTGATTTAACTCCTTCAGTCAGCTGAGTTTTGACATTACATGGCCATGTTTCCAGCATAACGGTTATCATACCACTATGTCTTGAATCCACCAACTCAAAGAAATATCTTATACTCTTACGTGAATACATATCATGACCATTGTCTACTCCATGATAAGCGAAGCATACTAAATAACAAACATGAGTTTTCTATGTAGTGGGAGAAATTCTATGTAGTGGGAGAAATCTACAAGGCGGGCAAAGTAAAATAAAAGAGTGGCTCCAGTAATGCTCTATGCTGAACCGGCCTGGCTATACTTCACAGATCTACATTCTGGCCACTTGGGTGGTTGTATTTTTGCAAAAATTATCAATAGAATTTACTTACCCAAAAATAAATAAATAAAAGGGTGTCTACCACATCTATGCTTCCAGTATTAAGGTAAGAAATGACAGATATTACGTAAATGCTTCTGTTTGTAGTATTTGTGAATTTGCATCACTAAGCATGTAAAACTCCCAGGTTCCCTCAGTCAGCACAATTTTGCAGAATGAGAAGAGCATATCTGCATTTCTACATTCTTCTGCCCTCAATTCAAAATTTCCCAAATTTTGCCCATTTTTAAGTATTAACATGAAATGCCAGTAAAATTGCAGTTTTAATGGAACCATGCCTAATGACCCAAACACCAAAAATTTTACAATGATATTTAATGCAGAATAAAAATGAAGGTACGAATTGTCCCATCCTCAACATTTTGAGGCAAGTCCATAATAATGGATCAATCAAAGTTTATTTAGCAGGTAGACTGCATAAATTTGTATAAACTTAAGTATGGGTATACTTACCAGTAGAAAAATGGTTGTTCTGTGTCCCTTTTACACCACTCTTCATAGTACACGTTCAAGTTATGGCCATACCGATGCCTTGGATCGATCTATGCCATCAATTCACCATCATCATAATTAAAATTGTAATGATAATACTAAGGGTTAGTTATACTTTATATAAAGGTTACACGGTTCTTATTTTAGTCCTTTAATGTTCAATTTTGTCGATTTGTCATCCACCTTTTAGCATAGCGTCAATTCAAATCGATTACGTTAGTCAACTTTATCAGAGAACGTGACATGCATTCATCACATTGTTTAACATGCATTCATCACATCTGTGATGTGCTGTGTCAATTTTTTTTATGGTTGTCACTGTTTGGACTGAATTGTAGCTATGTTGATATTTGGATAGCAAAATAGATAAACTAGCAAGTTTAGGGACTAAAGTGAGAATCAATGTAAACCTTGCTGGTGTAAACTGCAATTAACCCTATTTGTTAAAGAATAGATGTTTAGTAGAGTGCATAGAACAGTCAGTCAGAGGCTTACAGCTTCAATCCAATGTTGAAAAGCTAATTTCTGAGCCTTATCATTTCTACCTAAGCCCTTTCCAACCTACCAAAAAAATTGTCAAAAATTTACAACACACCATAATTAATTTTTCACTTCAAAATAGAAGATCAACCATCCACTCTGAATAAATATAGCAAAGACAGAAGATATATATGTTAACTAATCTACAAAACACATTTGTCCTTGAATGGTGTTGTTACCACGAGCCTTTGTGGTTCGGTGGTATCAGCTCCTACCACCTCACCCCAACAATTTGGGCTGATCAGGCATCGAGTCCCAGAGAGACAGTTGAGATGGGTTTGGAAAACATGGGGCACCCAACTATGGGTTGGGTGCTTGGGTTGGGGAAAGACAAACAAACACACACACTCTATTACCATATGTAGGCAGAGCCACATCAGGAAACATGCATACCCTTGAAGCATTTAGCCGTATCCTACTCCATCTTGATGCTGCCGTCTCAGGTTTCAGGAAATTGAAGAATGATACCGTGCTATGATTCAATTGTGCATAATCCATAGCTTGCCACCTTCATGTAATTCAGTATACTTATTCAAATCATTTTTGTCATAATATAGGCCTGTACTACATAAACCAAAATGGTGCTACTGCCTACCAGAGCTCTTCAGCAACCACCACTGAATCTGCTAGCCTGCGCCGGGTGCGATAACTCCTATAAACCTTCTGCAATTTCACTGCAGCAGTAGTTGTTTTAGAGCCAGCGCTTTCTGCCAAAGGTTCCACATCAGAGGTTGAAAGGGCTTGGCTTTCAAGCTCCATTTTATGTAAATTGCAAGCCTCTTTCTCTAGGCATATATGTAAAAGTCCACCAATAATGCTTACATTATTGTGTTTATTGTCAAAGGTCCGCATTCAAACCCCCCCCCCCCCCCCCACCCCCCCGGCATATAGTAGGGTCTGCGAAAGAGAAGTCATTGATAGTCTTACTCTCATTTTGGAGGCGGATTCTCCGAACTTGAACCCGGGTGAGTAGATGAGCCCTTCCCGTTATTGATGATTAGATTCGAAATTAATGCGGGTGATTTAATGGGTGGTACAATACACCAGCTCATGACTGCATTGAAAGCTAACCACTTTTATTTGGATAACCTGTTTGGCACAGGTGGAAGGGGAGAACGAAGTTAGTGGTGTGCCCAGATACTCCACTCTTGCACAGCATGTCATGTCAGAGAGCACTGCATCAAAAAAGTAACTCACACTTCTGAGTTTCTGCATGGAGAAATGCATACAAGTGTACCATGTATGTAATGAAGCTACAGATATTTCATTATCGATGGTGCTGAAGTGGAAAATTGCCCATCAAAAAGTTTGAAAACTCTCATTTTCGTTTAAAAGCTTAAATTGCTAGAGATGATATTGTAACCTAAGTTTAAATGCACTTTGACACATCCCTTTATATACAGGATAATTGTGCCAAATACGTGAACTCTTATTTTTAAAATAGTGTTGATAGATGAGATTTTGACACAGGACCTCCTATTTTGATATAATTCAAAAAGTTTAAGCCACCAAAACTTGGAGGGGTAAATAGAAGACCAAATAATAAAACAAGTGCACTTTTGGCACAAATAAAAGGACAATCAATTGACAAATCACAAACAGAAAATTAAGGAAGCTGTTGGGTGTCTCTCCTTATGCCTTCTCATTAACACCCAACTCAAATTAAAGATATGTGCATGCGTACATTGAAAGAGTGTAGTACAAACCAAGAATTGAAGACCTCGTCTTCTAAGTTGCCTAACCGGTCTTACACTTTGAGTGAAAAAAAAATTTGTAGAAAACATTGAGAGTGGACAGCATCTTTTGTGAGAGAAAAGTGGAAGACAACAGTTCATTTCTTGCTCTTGTTCAAGACTCATTTCTACTCAGATCGAGCTGAAAATTCAGGGACATATTCCTCACTTCCACAGCCGATTTCTATTGTTTCAGGTCATCAATCGGACTCTTCTACAACTGATTTTGAATGACAAAAGTTCAGTCACTTCGATGAGATCTTTCTAGTTGCTTTTGTGTTGAAATTCACCTAAGGGTGAATTTTTTATGTTTGGGAGTCAATAAGATATTTTTCTCTTGATTTTTGACATCTCTAGTTGTGACTAGAAGACTTGTAATCCTATTTTCGATGATAGTGGAGAGATTGGACCAAATTTTGTCCCGTGATTTTTTCCCTTCTCCTTGAAGGGATTTCACATTAAAGAATTCTTGTGTTTCTTGTTGTTGGTTTGGTTTGGTTTGGTTTGCTTATTGTGCTTAATTGTGGTTTTGGTTATTCTCTATTGATTTGCACATAGAGCGAAAGTCACTAGGTTTCCCAACAAGTGTTATTAGAGCACAGGTTGGCTTCGGTTTATTTCTTGTGTAAATCATGGAAGGTAATGTGAGGCATATGGTTAGCTTAATGGAACCAATTGGGTGACATGGAAGACTAAAATGGAAGACCCTTTGTATTATAAAGATCTTTATGGACCCATAGAAGGTGAAAAAGACCGACCCCTAGGTATGATAGATGGTGAGTGGACCAAGCTTAATCGAAAGGCCGTCAGATTTATTCGTCAATGGATTGATGATAGTGTTTTCCACCATGTCTCTACCGAAAATTTAGCACACTCTCTTTGGCAAAAATTAGAGTCTTTATGAGAGGAAAACGGCAGTTAACAAGACTTTTTTGTTTTGAAAGCTTGTTAATCTAAAGTATAAAGAGGAAAGCTCCATTGCGGAACATTTGAATGAAATGAAAAGCATTGTAAATCAACTTTCCTCCATGAAGATTTTTTTTGATGATGAGTTGCAAGCTTTGTTGCTTCTTAGTTCCTTGTCGGAAAGTTGGGAGACCTTGGTAGTGACGGTTAGTAACTCCACCCCGATGGAATTGTTACTATGAGTCAAGTGACTAGTAGCTTGCTGATTGAAGAGACAAGAAGGAAGTCATTTGGTTCTTCTCATTCCGAGTAGAACACCACACAACCATGATAAATTATGGGAAGCTTCAAGTTCAAGGAAAAATATAGTGTCATTATTGCCACAAGAAAGGGCACATAAAGAAAGAGTGTAGAAAACTCAAGAGAGATCAAAAGAAAGAAAAAGATGATGAAAAGAAGCAATAAGACACTACCACAATCACTTCCAATGGTGACATCATTGTTGTGCATGATGACGGCTTTGTTAATTTCATGAGTCAAGAGAGTAGTTGGGTGATTGATTCTAGTGCTTCATTTCATGTCACTTTACGAGCTAATTTCTTCACATCTTACACATAAGGAGATTTTGGAATTATTCGAATGGGAAATGTGGGCTTATTTAAAATCATGGGTGTTGAAAATATTTGCTTGGAGACAAATAATAGTTGCAAGTTTTTGCTTAAAGATGTGAGGCATGTCCTGGACATTCAGCTTAATTTGATCTCCATGGGAAAGCTTGATGATGAGGGTTACAACAACCACTCTGGCGATGAAAAATGGAAGCTTACTAAAGGATCTTTGATTGTGGCTAAAGGGAAGAAAAACTCTACTCTTTACTCAATGGAAGCAAAAATTAGCAAAAGTGAAGTTAATGCACTTATAAATGATTCCTCCACTGAGCTATGGCATAAACGGCTCGGACATATGAGTGAAAAGGGATTGCAAATTCTTTCCAAGAAGCAACTCCTACTGGATATGAAAGGTACACCTTTCAAAACACATGTTCATTGCTTGCCTGGTAAACAATATCGAGTTATTTTTCATAGGAACTTTGCATCTAGAAAGACCAATGTTTTGGATTTGATATATCGGATGTGTGTGGTCCGATGAAAGTTAGAACACTTGGTGGTGCACTCTACTTTGTTACCTTTATCGATGATCATTCAAGAAAGTTGTGGGCATATGCGTTGAAGAGCAAATATCAAGTGCTAGAAGTGTTTAAACATTTTCATGTCAATATGGAAAGAGAAACGGGGAGAAAATTGAAATGCATTCGCACGGACAAGGGTGGTGAGTACCTAGGACCATTTGATGGTTATTTTGATACTCATGGGATTAGACATGAGAGGACGGTTTGCAAGACTCCTCAACAAAATGGAGTTGCTGAGAGGATGAATCGCATTATTGTTGAAAGGATAAGGTGTATGTTTGCACATGCTAAGCTACCTAGATCTTTTTTGGGTGAAGCAATGCGGATAACAATTGACTTAATTAATTTTTTTCCTTCGGTTCCTCTATATAGTGAAATGCCCAAAAAAGTTTGGAAAGGTAAATACGTTTCATATGCTCACTTCAAATTTTTTGGTTATAGGGCATTCATTCACATACCCAAAGATGAGAGGTCTAAACTTGATCCTAAGGCAAAACAATTCATATTTCTTGGATATGCATATGAGGAATTTGGGTATAGATTGTGGGATCTAGCTGACAAGAAACTTGTTAGAAGTAAGGATATTGTCTTTCTTGAAGATCAAACAATTGAAGACTTGGAAAATGTTGAGCAGCCTAAGTCTTATATTGATGATTTTATTGACTTGGATTTGATTCCTTCACCTATTGTGCATGATGAAAATGGGGAAGAGATGCAGCCATTTCATGATGATGATGTAGATGATGGGATTTCAAATGATGTTTGAGCTAGAAAATGAGGGGGAGTTTTCAACTCAAGAGCCACCACCACAACTCGAGTTAAGAAGATCTATAAAAGAGCGGCAACCATCCAAAAAGTATACTTCAAATGAGTATGTAATGATATCCGATGGGCGAGAGCCTCAGATTTATCAAGAAGCCTGAAAGCATGAGCACAAAGATGAATGATTTATATCTATGCAAGAAGAGATGAAGTATTTGCTGGAGAATCACACATATGAGGTAGTGAAGCTTCCTAAATGAAAGATAGTGTTGAAAAATAAATGGGTATTCCGATTGAAAAATGATGAGAAGAGCTCTAAACCAAACTACAAAGCATGGCTTGTTGTCAAAGGCTTTGGGCAGAAAAAGGGAGTGGACTTTGATGATATTTTCTCACCCGTGGTAAATTCAAAGATGTCATCCATTAGAGTTGTTCTCGGCATGATTGCAAGTATGGACTTGGAAATTGAGCAACTTGATGTGAAGACCACCTTTCTCCATGGAGATTTAGATGAGGAAATCTATATGGAGCAGCCTGAAGGTTTTAAAACCAAAGGGAATGAGTATCTAGTTTGCAAGTTAAAGAAGAACTTGTATGGATTGAAGCAAGCGCCGAGGCAATGGCACAAGAAATTTGATTCTTTCATGATGGATCATAAGTATTCTAGAACTAATTTCGATCATTATGTGTTTATGAAAAAGTTTATGGATAGTAACTTTATCATTCTCTTGTTATATGTTGACGACATACTTATTGTGGGTTAAGATTCTACCAAGATTGACAAATTGAAGATAGAGCTAAGCAATTATTTTGCCATGAATAACTTAGGACCAATAAAACAAATTTGTATGAAAATTCTTCGTGATCAAAAGAGTGAACAGCTGTGATTGTCAAAAGAGAACTACATTAAAAAGTGCTTGAAAGGTTCAAAATGGACAAAGCAAAGCCAGTTAAATCTCCACTTGTAGGCCACTTCAAGCTTACTTCAATACAATGTCCTACAAGTGGGAAAGTAAAGGAGGATATGCTAAAAATTCCTTATGCTTTAGCCGTTGGTTGCTTGATGTATGCCATGATTTGCATAAGACCGGACTTAGCTTATGCGGTTGGATTGGTTAGCAGATTTCTCTCTAATCCAAGGAAAGAACATTGGCCAGCTATTAAATAGATTATGAGGTATCTCTGGGGTTCTTCCAAGGTGTCTTTATGCTTTGGAAATGGCAAGTCTATGCTGGAAGGATTCGCAGATGTAGACACGGATAGTGATGTTGATTCCTGAAAATCTTTATCGAGTTACTTACTCATTTTTGCAGGTGGGGCTGTTTCATGGCAATCAAAACTTCAAAAATGTATTACTTTGTCAACCACCGTGACTGAATATATAGTTGGGACAGAGGCTAGCAAAAAGATGTTATGGATGTGAAAATTCTTACATGAATTGGGCTTGAAACAAGAGAGGTATGTTTTCCATTGCGACAATCAAAGTGCAATTCACTTGAGTAAGAATTCTACTTTCCATTCAAGATCAAACCATATTGCTGTGTGATATCACTAGATACGTGATGATTTGGAATCGAAATTGTTTCATCTTGTGAAAATCCATTCCGATTATAATGCATCGGATATGATGACGAAGGGCTTACCCAAAGACTAATGTAGAATTTCGGCGGGTTTGGTTGAGTCCTCCACATAATTCTAGAGGGGGAGATTTGTTGGGTGTCCCTCCATATGCCTTCTCATTGGAACCCAACTCAAATTAAAGATATGTGCATGTGTGCATCGAAACTATGCATTGGAAGAGTCTAGTACAAGCCAAGAATCGAAGACCTTTTGTCTTCTAAGTTCCTTGACCGGTTTACACTTTGAGTGAAAAAAAAAATCTATAGAAAACATTGAGAGTGGATAGCTTCTTTTGTGAGAGAAAAGTGGAAGACAATAGCCTACTTCTTGCTCTTGTTCAACACTTATTTATACTCCAATCGACTGAAAATTCATGGACATATTCCTTACTTCCACAGCTGGTTTCTATTGTTTCAGGTTGTCAATCGGACTCTTCCACAACTGGTTTTGAATGATAGAAGTTCAGCCACATCGATAAGATCTTTCAAGTTGCTTTGTGTTGAAATTCATCTAAGGGTGAAGTTTTTATGTTTGGGAGCCAAGAAGATATTTTTCTCTTGATGTTTGACATCTCTAGTTGTGACTAGAAGACTTGTAATCCTATTTTCGTTGATAGTGGAGAGATTGGACCAAGTTTGGTCCCGTGGTTTTTTCCCTTTGCCGTGAAGGGTTTTCACGTTAAAAAATTCTTGTGTTTCTTGTTGTTGGTTTGGTTTGGTTTGGTTTGGTTTGCTTATTGTGCTTAATTTGTACACAGAAGGAAAGTCACTAGTTTTCCCAACAGAAGTGCCCAAAACCATCTCAAACCCAGATTTAATATCATCCTAAACTATCATCTCATCTAAAGATTTAAATTGTTAAGTAGGATGTAACATAATTATTTATAGATTGAACCTCCTTGGACCCCCCTTCTCCCAAAAAAAAAAAACAAAATAAAGTCTGCATTGTCACTTAATAAATGATGATCTAAGTACTGTCCAATTTATTGGCATCTTGTATTTTGTATGCCCAATTTTTAGTGTCTCAATTGTGTTGAGCTTTGGCAAAATTTTAGAAAGGAAGGCAATGTTGGTAGTGAAAAAATAGAAAAGGAGATAGAAAAGGTCAATTTGACTGTATAATGATATCCCAATTACATTCACATCATTTGTTGGATTGCTAGGTGGTATTTAGGATTAGTTCTTCACCAGCTATATCGTTCAATCTATGATGCCAACTGAGTTGTATTGTGTTAAATTCATATTAGTTACGACGAGAAACAGGACAAAGAAATCATTGTTCAAACAGAACTTCAATAATCATATACAAAAACAATCAAGTTGAAATACAAAGAAAAAAGTTCCACAGAAATGGAACTTTACAATACTGAAGACAGAAAAAAAAAAAAAAATACTCCCAGCAGCCAATGCACAGAAAATTTAGTATACTAGCAGTAACATCTCAAGGGCTAGTTGTGGATAGGGGTGGTTATAGGAAAGGAAAGGTAGGCATTGTCACTGGAATGGTTGAAATGAAAGGAATCATCGTTGGGATCGTGGGCAGTGCAGCTGGGAGAGGAGGCAATGTGGCTTTTGGAATTGTTGGCATGGTGGGTAGAGTTGGATTTGGCATGGTGCTTGGAATTGGTAAGATTGTTGTCTTTGGCAGAGTCGGGGCAGTCGGTAGTCTAGGCAATGGAATAGTTGGCAATGGTGGCACTATGGTTGTAGGCAAATGTGGTAGTGTAGGCAGTGTGGGGAGTGCTGGTGCTACAAGTGGAGAGGTTTGAAAAGGCGGCGAGCTGCAAAGATCCCTGGCATGCTTGAAAGTGATAATGCCACGATGACAGAAAGAAGGAAGCAGTGATTAGAAGCAACCATTGTTTTTTGGGTTGGAGTAGAAGATTGATGGAGCTGTGTTAGTCTGAATTTGTTGGGCAAGAAGAGCATGGATCAATGGGTATTTGTAGTGCTCAAAGACTAAGAATTTTGGAGGAAATGAGTTTGATGAGATGTGGTTGGCCGAAGATTGGAGAAAAACTAGCTTGTTTATCTTCCAGGCTTGACTAAGGCCAAATTTGTAAGTCATACAATGATGTGGGTAGCGCAAATTAGTATATCATACGGTACTTGCACGTATAATGGTTTGTCAATTCCCTCCCAATCTAGATGCAAATTAATGAGTAGATAGCGACATCAGGTCATCAACTTAGATATGCTGATCGTTTCCTTGGCAACAACCTCATTTTAGTAGATGACTTGAGTCTATTTCACTTGATACGTGGTGTCTCTAATTAATATCAGTTAACTTCTTTTTTTTTCTTCTCATCGGAGTTATTTAACAAACCCTTGTCGTAGTAAAGAAGAAAAGGAAAACAAGCACATTTAGAGAGTGTAGTACAATAAAGAGTTGTATATGTTGCGTTCAGAAAGGATGAATTGTTCTCGAAGAAATCTATTGATTCTCCCCCAATTAAACCCCAATAGATAATTCTCATTCCATTTGCTTTATGTTCCACCCACGTGCAAATGATGAGAAGTAAAGATGAACTTATTATTGAAAACGTGTCTGCTTTGAGAGTCAAATCGAGAAAAAATTGGATAGTTCAGTAGATAATTGGTTGGTTTTGATGCCCAAAATAGGTGTCTTTTAACCAAAAAGCACTTCCTTATGTCACCTGATTTGCACATGGGGTGAAATAGACAAAAACATGGGATGAGAATTATCTAGTGGGCTTGATTGAAATAAATTTGTTTTATTGGGGGTGCAATTTTAAAAAATTGAACTTTTAAGGTACAAATTGAGAATTTTAGAATTTTTGGTGTGCAAAATGAGATTAACCCAAAAATAAAATTAATGGGCCCAACTCATGTTATAAGCCCAGTCCGAGTTAAAGGCCTAACTCCAAGAGATCTACCAAGTTCAGCTCAATGTAGTCAACCCAGATAAGCTCATCAGGGAGTTATGTCACCAAAGGAGCACCCAGGAGCCTCACTCTCACCGCCTTGAAAACCAAATCTCAAGCACCATAACTGTCTTGCCCGTTGAGAAGAGGTACGTTTCCGTCGGATTAGCTACTTAACTACCATAAAGTCACCCCAATCCGTTATGACCGCCAGATTAGCTATTCAATTACTATGTTGAGCGACTATAAATTGTAAGCCCCACCAACACTTAGGGGGCATCAGACTTATTTGAGCATAATTCTCTCTAAAGCTTGTAATCATTTTCTCTCCCACCACATCGGAATTAATAAAATTATCGACGACCGATGCCATTTCAAGTGGACGTAGGTCACTTTGACCAAACCATTATAAATTTGGTCTTTTATCTCCCTCTACTTTACTGCATTTTATACTACTTAATTGACTAGTGGTGCGTAAACCAATTTTTGCATCATCAGTTTGGCGTCGTCTGTTGAAATGACAAAATTCGCACATAAACACTTTTTTTGCTGAATCAAAGGCAATCACCACTGGGATCTATGAATTAGCCTAAAGACATTCCACCACAAGACGAGGAGGTTGCTCCTCCACCTGCCAATCCCGTCCCAAATGCACAACAGATGCTGGACACAATGCAACAGCTTATAGCCCAAAACTAGTAAATTCTGCAATTGATGCTCGGGCAACAAGGAGGAGGACTGCTTGGACCTCAAACCAAGGGAGCTCCACTCCCTGGTCATCAAGGAGCTCCCCGCCTAGGTGCTCTCCATCCAGGCGCCCCCTTGTGCGCCCCACCTTTGGGAGTTCCCTTGGGTGCCCCACTTAGGAGGGCCCACCATGAGGGACCTTGTCCTCCAGCCCCTATTCCTGCTCCCCATGGTAGAGACCCTCATTTCTAAGAGGATGAGGATGAAAACCAAAGCATGGAGCATGGGAGCCATTTTCGTGATAATTCTAGAGGACCTCCTCCCAATCCCTAGGACAAAAAAATTAAAAAGGTGCAAAATCAATTGGGTGACGTCTTCAACGCTATTAAGGCATAGGGACCAGAGACAGTGGACTACCTCGTAAGTCGAATCAACACGCCTTTCAAATCTGACATGGTGAACTACCCACTCCCTTAAAAATTTAAGATGTCATTCGTCGAAATCGTTGACGATATGAAGGATCCACTGAACCAACTTGAAAATTTTAAAACCTTGATTCAACTACACAATATCCTTAACGAAATCACGTGCAGAGCGTTCCCAACCACCTTGAAGGGATCCGCTCTACAATGGTTCGCCAAACTCTCTCTAGCCTCCATTGGCTCATTTGCTGAGTTGAGCAGCTCCTTTTTGTCACACTTCATTGGAGGACGCTGCCATCAGAAGCCTACCACCCACTTGCTCCACATAAAAGCAGGATTGAGATGAGAGCCTGAGGAGTTACCTCATTCATTTTAATGAGGAGGTTCTTCAGGTCGAGGAGCCCAATGATAAGGTCAGCATGACCGACTTCCTAGGAGGCCTCCAATCGTCAGGTTTTCTCTTCTCCGTGATGAAGTGCCCACCGAAGAGCATGTCAAAACTATTAGCGAAGGCCTAGAAATACATGAATGCTGAGAACATTACAAGGGCCAGACGAGGTGAGTCCTCCAAAATTGGGAAAAAAAGAAAATAAAGAGACAGGGATGACAAGAAGGAGAGTAGTAACAAACGTAGCAGGACAGAGAGGGCACCTGCAAAAGACCGGCTCGGTCCTGCTCCGTAGAGAGATCAACAAGCCTTCACTCCCCTCAATGCTGCTATCGAGCACATCCTATTGCAGATCCAGGATAACCCTGCAGTAAAGTGACCTAGGAGAATGAAGTCTCCCCCAAATCGTAGAAATCCAACAAATATTGTCGCTTTTATCACCACCATGGTCATGACACTGACGACTGATATGACCTCAAAAGATAGATTGAGGAGCTCATCCAACGGGGTCACCTATGCCAATATGTTGCCGGTAGAGGATAGGCACCAACACCACCTCGTAATTAGGAAGACCAACAGCTTATTAGAAAAATTCACACCATCTCCGAAAGGCTTGCAGGGGGAGGAGAATCCCTTTCCACTATGAAGGCTCATGCTAGGAAAGCTAGGCACCTCGGCGAATTGTGCCCATCTAAGGCACCCAAGCATGACAATAGTGAGATCATATCCTTTTCAGACAAGGATTTGGAAGGAATCCAGAACCCCAAAGATGACCCTCTGGTGCTCACCATAACCGTCGCCAACTTCCAAGTGCAAAGGATTCTCGTGGACAGTAGTAGCTCTGTGGATATCTTGTTCGCAGAGGCTTAAGCTCAATTTGGGTGAGAAAGATTCCAGCCCATTAGGTCGCTCCTCATTGGATTCTCAGGGGAGAAAGTGTATCTCTTAGGGTCCATCACCTTACCTATGACTGCCAGAGTGGCACCCCAAAGCTTCACGATCATGGTCAACGTCCTAGTGATAGATTGCCCTTCAGCCTACAACATTATCCTAGGGCTACCAGCTCTCAACACCCTAAAAGTTGTGCCCTCCACTTACCATATCATCCTTCGTTTTCTAATCTTGAACGGAGTTGAAGAGATGCGAGGAGATCAAGTTGCTGCAAGAGAATGCTACGTCTCCTCTATGAAGACAAGGAAGCCACAAAAGGCCCTACAAGTGGTGGTCCTCAACCCAAGAGATGACACCACCATAGTGTCACACCCCAAAAGTTTTTTTTCCTTTTTAAAAAAATACCCGGGTGTGATTAAGGAATAAAATTTACTGAACTTACAATAATCTTCCTTATATTATTTTATTTTTCGTACGAGTACATAATCCTCACAAGATCATTTCAAATATTCTTGATACAACATAAAGAGAAATAATAATAGCAGACTCTATCCTTTCAGCCTATCTTCCAACTTGACTTCATATATCTGAAAAATATTAAATAGGGATGAGCTCACCAGCTCAGTAGGATAACGTTTATCAATGACTACCGAGGTTTTAAAACAATGAATAATATAATTAAACCGCGAATAAATGCAGGAATAGGGCAAAGTAATGAATCAAATAAATAAATTTCAGCACATATCGATCATATCAATCCGTCAATTTTCTGGTCCACACATGAACCGCCTCCAGAGAAAACTTTGGGGTCTTGCACCCTAGGGAACCCAATGCCCTTCTTGCTTTTCTGAAAACACCAATACCAAAAATTATGTGGTGCCACACAGGCTACCATGACAACCGATATTACTAACCGGTGAACTCAATGACTAGTAGGAATCCTGTGAATCCTTGCAAGGATCACGCATTTACTAACCCTCTACCCTCGATTATGTGCATTTATAATAATTTCATCAAAATCAAAAAATAAAATCATATTGTAGTCAGACCCCACATCAAATCAAACATTAAATATTAATAATGAAATAGACATTTATTATGCAACATGGTTTCATGAGATAATTAGGGTCTCAATAAAAAAAAAAATACAATATGCGCATGATAACGATTTATTTATAAAACTCCAGTCTAACCCCATGATATAACATTACATTTTATAATTAAAAATAAAGTTGATATGAAACCTCCAAATATGCATAAAATGCATCAATGATAGTAAAAGATAAAAGAAACCCTACCTCCTTCTTGACTTCTATTCGATACCGTGTATTGTAACAAAATAACCAAAATAATATTTTAGAATAACAATAGGTACTAAGGGCTTAATTAACCTAAAATAAGTTTTGGAATAAGTAACGAAAGATAATAATACTTAAATTTGATCTAAAAATATTTAATGCAGATCAACTTTAAGTGAGTCGAACATATAA